TTTTTTTTTTGCAAGATTAAGTTATTCCTGATTCATTTCTTTAATTATTATATTAGATATAAAATTGAGTTATGTATTCAAATTCTTTTGTAATCTTCATCTTTCCTTGTTTGTGTTTTTAAATCTCTCTTAGCTAACTGATTACCTCTGTAGTAAATCCCTCTTGCTCTCTCTTTAGACATGAAGAAGTAGTTGACATGCATAAAGGTATTGAACTGAAAAGGCTCATTTCTTCTGCTAAATGGTTGCTGCTGCTTCTTAATAGTACGTTCGAAAAAAAGCGTGTACTTTCTGCGTATGTCCTCAAAACGAATAAAGAGTTCCCACCTATTTGCAAAGTGGAGGCGGTTGTCCACCAATTTCATGGTAACCTCATACTCGCGCCCTTCTTTGCTTGTCAAAGTACAGAGCAAGGGCACATGAGTATTATATTGATCGTCCACAGCGTCCGGTAACAACTGCAACAATTGGTAGGTTATTTTATTAATTTATGAAGATAAAAACAAAGCACAGTGTTTATGGAGACAAACATGATAAATAAATCATATTTTGAAGTTGTAAGGTATATTCCACACAAATATTACACAAAATTATTTGTGTACACACGCAAACAGTGAATAAGTAGTCACCAGAATACTAAGCACATAAACATATATACACACAAATACTCACTCAAGCTTGTAACTTATTTGTAAATGTCTACCAGTTTTAGAATAATCAGCTACCATGACATTATGCACGACCAGAATAGCCCACACTAAAGATGACGTATATCCAACGTTCTCCCCAGAAAGCATCTGCATTAAAAAAAAGCATTCAATGGAATTTTTAAGTGTCGCGTGAGTATATTTCAGTTTGGAGATGCATGCACATATACACGAATATAAACAACCTCACAACTCGGCAAAATTCAAGAGAGCAAAATTTTAAAACATTTTTATAAAAACAAAAAAGACAATATATGTGAATAACTGCAACATACGCTACAATAAAAGTTGTAACAACTTATGACAACTTTTCACTATAGTTTTACACCCAGTGTTAGACTGTCGTGTGTGCACGGCGTGAGCCAAACTAGTACAAAAAATATTATACAGTCCCGTTTTCATGAATTTTGTGTAAGTTATATACAAACAAGTCATTTTGAAATAAAATTTATTAATTTAAAAACAAATTCTAATTGCCATCATTTTAGGTTATGTCATTTTATGAAGATCGGTACCTTATGACTTCTCTTCGTAAATATAAATGTAGAGCTTTTTTTATCCATTTTTATTAGAACTTTCAAGTTTAAACCCTTGACTAACTTAAATTCTAAATGTTTTTAAAAGTTAATAACATTTATATTTGTTATCAGTTTTTATATATTATAAAATCTATCAGATTTCTATTAATAAAAAATTAAATATTGATTAACTATTACTAAAAAACAATAAATTTATCTATCAAGCCTATTATAAAGTATAAATACTAAAATATTGTAAAGCAATTCAGTCAAATTTGACAGGTGAGGTGTATCATTTTAAATAAAAGAATAATATCTTGTAAGAATTATTTAAAATTTTAAAATTAGAACTGTATTTATATTTCTATGAATATTAAATGTAAATTTACAGTTAACACATGTAATGATATGAATTTAACACCAAAAAGCCAGCCCAGACAATTGCCTAGACTGGCGCATGTGTGGATCCGCCACAGCTTCCTTGGGCTTCAGGTAAAGCAAGGTAAAGATGGTATCTTCTTGCATCAAAGCAAATATACAAACAACCTTGTCAAAAAGTTTGGTCTTGAAAATGTTAAAAGCCCTCAAACTCCCATGGGCACTCATGTGAAAGTGTCTAGGGATGATGAAGGTACACCTGTTGATCAAACTCTTTACAGAAGTATCATTGGTAGTCTCCTATATCTTACTGCCAGTAGACCTGACATTTGTTTTAGTGTTGGATTATGTGCCAGGTAGGGCTATAAACGAGCTGAGCTCGAGCTCGGCTCGGCTCGTTAAGTGAACGAGCCAAAAATCGAGCGCGAACTTTAACGAGCCGAACTATAGAAAATTATATAAATTTCACTTTTTGAGCCTTCTCGACTCGTTAACCAGACGAGCCAAGCCTTAACGAGCTGAGCCTTGCTCGTTTAACTTAACAGTACTAGTGCCAGGTATCAGTCAGCCCCTAAAGGCAGTCAAGCATATTATAAAATATGTGGGAGGTACATCTGCTGAAATATAGAAAATTTATTATATTGCAATGTAAAATCTGAGGCAGGTATTCTGTTGAAAATTTCAACAGATGTTTCATTGGTATAACTTTCGTTAAAAAATTAATGGGCTATTCCAACAAATATAAAATTAAATTACATTTGAATTTTAATGAATAATTTTTCCAATTAACATTATTTAATATTGTGTTGTTTGTAGTATTTTTGGGTAGTTGGTAATCGAGTTACCCGGACTCGGGTCGTTCTCAAAGGAAGGCTATTCGGACACGGATTTAAGCAGTGATCGACTCACACAAGAAAATAAAATAAAAATCCTAAACACTCTACTCGTAATTTGGGGTTTGGATTAAGCTAAGAACGCAATTTAAACTAAGACAAAAGCAAGACTCAAACTTTATCGCAAGCAAGACCTCAATTTGTAAGAAAAAAGAAAATAAAAAGAGAAATAAATAAGGTACTTCTAGACCCGATATGGAAAGAAGACACTCATAGGTTCGGGAATATGCAACCAAGTGAAAGTCACTCGTGATCAATTAACCTCTCAATCAATTCTCACTCACACAATCAATAACAATATCACATAATCCCTAGCTTACGAGGATGATAGCATAATCGACTCATGGACGTGCCAATCTTAACCCTTTCTAAATCCAATAAGTAAAGACGAGCAAGACTTACGAAATCATGAACTTTAAACGAAGTCTCCAAGTCTCTAGTGCATCCACGAGAAGAAATAAGTCGAAAAGTTGTAATCTTGATGGAGAAATTGTACAATAAAAATAGGGTCTTGTAGTCCTTAGAGAGAGAAAGAAAACTAGAGAAAGAAGAGAGCAAAATCTAAAAAGAAAATTTAGCAAATGAGGAATTCTTTCAAAATACAAAGCACAATGTTTATTTATAGCTACACCACAAACACGCACTAAAACCCGCACATTAAACGAGAAAACTCGCGAGTTAAGTTGTTTTCGCGGGCAAGGGCTAGGTCGCGAGTGTGGCTTGGTATTGGGCAACTCGCGGGATGGAGGGCTATTCACGGGAGCAGAGGGTGAAATCGCGAGCAGGGTTGGCGTTCCTTGGGCGCTCGCGGGCACTGGCGCATGCTGGGAACGGGAACTCGCGGGTTAGCCGCTGTTCGCGGGCGCGAAACTGGAAACTCGCGGGCTGCATGGATGAACTCGCGGGTTAACTGCCTTTCTACAGTTATATTTTTATTTTCTATTAACCACTATAATCATAATAAAATTAAATGATGATTTTCTAAATATATTCAATATTTAATTAAAATATTTGAAATATAGAAAGCATTGTATTGCAATTAAATATTTTAATATACTAATAATAAAATTATTTAAATTTGTTTGAATTTATATAGATCAAATATATTTAAGTTTATATTTTTGTATTATGAAAAAA